AAACCACAAACACACTGCGGTACCAGCGAATACTATATTGATAGTGTTTCCGGTATGGTAATCTGGTGCGTCTTTGGCTTGATAGATTTGCGAGCCCCAGACTCCGTAGATGTTGGCAGCGAAGATGACACAGCCAGAGGCGAGGGTTCGTTTTCCGATGCTCCTGTTTGCATTTCACGATATGAGTACACACAGAGAAGGTAGAAGTAGTACGACTTGCCCTGTATTCTCGGACATCCATGCGATATTCAAGGGATGGGTGTATGGCCAGCAAGCAACGAGAAGCGCAGCGAAATATCTGGGTAGTCACATAAGTACAGGGTATTTGGCGAAGGAGAATTCTCACTTGACGCCTTTACTCGTATCCGAAGGCAAACAACGAAGTAAAATCCATCCAACGAGTTGCCAGGTTGCTAGATGAAAAAAGGGGGTCAAATACAGTCGGAATTGACGTGGGACGATTCGTAACAATATAGAGATGGTTGCGTGTGCTCGGGATCTCAAGCAGGGGTCAAGAAGGTCAAGAGGGCATAAAAGAGTTTGTGGAATTCCCATTCACCTCCAAAAGCCCCATGAAACCCTCTCTCTCCAATTCTGTCCGAATGCCAAATGAACAAAACCGTTGTACAGCACTGTAATATGTATGGTGGCGCTGTTAGAGCATTGGCTACGAAGATGGAAAAGTCAAATGTTTTGATGACGGATGGGAGATCTGTGTAAGATTTTGTAAGTTCAAAAGTTAATTGTACAACTGGACAACTTACATACGCCCAGAGGATTCGTCGGCGTAAGTCCAACAGCGGTAATAAAGAGATGTCCCCATAAACCAAGATCGGTCGCAGCGTCTTTAACGTCTTCCCAGTGTACGCGTTGCCTAGATAATGGCACAATTAGAAAGCGAGCACGGGATTAGGCTGCTATTAAGTATATGCACTCATAAAGACGTTTCGAAGGATCATCCCGTACGATTCGCGTAACCGCAATCCGCACCTGTCTTTCATCGAACCACGGTTTCCATCCGCGGATACCGCCTTTAGTGAGCGTGGCGTTTCGCGGAAGGTAGAACCTAGATTCGGTTCGTTCCAACTCTCGAATCCAAGAATCCTGACACGTACCAAGTCAACACCGCAACGACCACTGTAATAATCCCGTCGACCAGGAAGAGCCATTTCCATCCTTCTAGTCCTGAGACACCTTGCAATTGCAACAATCCACTAGCCATAAGCCCGCTGACAGCGCTGGCGATAGTTTGTACACCCCAGAACCATGCCAGACGTGTAGCGAGCTCGGTGCTGCGGTAGAAGGAGCCGAGGTAGATAAGAGTAGCGGGGATTACGCCACCTTCTGTAACAGCTATCACTACATGTATTGAGAGTAAGTAGGTCAATAACAAGGACAAGACGAGAGAAGGAAGTGGAAGCTCACTGCAACGAACTGACATGAGTGGAGAAAGATTTAGATTAAGAGGGGTGAAAAGCGATACGAAAGCCTTACCAGTCAGGTATCCGCCTTTATCTCTGATTAATGCATGTGACATTGTAACCAAGCCCCAGCAGAACATAGAAAACGGTATCCCTACGAAACTGAGATTAGCATTGAATCGCCCACAGCCTAGAGTAAAATTAAACTCACATCTTGCAGGATGGACAATCTTACACACCACCGCTCCGCCCAAACATGCCAGGCTAAACAGCACTGAATAAATCGCCGTTCCAAGGTTCACCGTATTTGTCGTAAACCCCAAGTCCTTCGGAAGATTGTCTGAAATTGCGTTTGACAAATTCGTCCGGTCCATGTTCAGCACGAACGTAGTGAGGAGAACCCATGGAAATAAACGCGTGTCGAGGATGCGGATAACTTTGGATTCTTCGGAGGGGGTGAAGGTGAGATTCGGGATGAAGAATGGGTTACTTTCGGCTTCGGAGAGGGCTGAGATCGTGGTTCTGGTTGTTTCGTCGATTGAGTTTGGAAGAGTGCTGAGGCCATGTGCGAGTTCGATTTCAACATTGGAATCAGTTTTCTCGTTCACATTGTCCTCATTTAAACCAGCTCGTTTTTGTTCGCCTCTCTCGAGTTGTGACATGACTCCAAGAGATTGGTGTAAGCTTGGGAAATTGGAAGCCTGAATTGCATATAATAAATCAAGACGTTATATACTTATCTGGACTCCAGCGTGTCGTCGTTTGGTCATGAAATTGCGCAATGACATTTCAATGTTTTCGTCCACCCGCTTCCCGATCTCTCTGTAGTATTGGTGTATATCCGCCAGGGAAATGGCAGCTGTGTCCAGAAGCAATTGGGGAATAATGGTCTCAGCGCCTCTGGATTGTACAAGTCTAATCAAGCCGAACATACCACCGTGAATCATGTAGTGTTTAAGCCATTATCGCGAGATGGTGAGCCCAGAATTGATGTCATCTGCAATCATTGGTCCGTTGAACCAAGCACAGTGCCAAATTTTATCATCGTGGCCTGCTCATGGACGTTGGGTTGGTCAGTGTTATCGCAACAAGGGAGGACCCTGAACTGGACGAAAATGAAATTAACATTGAACTTACATTGTTCAGGTCGAATCTCCATCTCCAGACTACACATGGCCACAGTCATGCCCATGTTCTACCTTTGTCGAGATGGTTTTGAGCAGAGAGCCGAGCGCCTAAGCGGGTCGGCGGCTACTATACTTACTACGCCCTACAAACTCCACAATAAAATATTACTCGCAGATCTCTACTGAATGAGAAACAGTGAGCGTAATGGGCTAATCATACTTCCCCAGTACGAATGTGCTATGTTTTCCCAAAATGAACTTTTGAAGATTTGAGCAACTTCCGATTAGCGAGAGTGATTGGCTTCGAAGGAGTTTTGTATATAAGTTAGAAATGGGACTCGTGGGAGGACAGAGTCTGCAGAAAGGGAAGACAAAGGTGATGAGGCGAAGATGAAGGGCGATCAAAATACACCGAAATTGGCGGAGGAAAAAGATGGCTCCTTCTTCACCACCGTCATTTGTACATTGTCAAACAACCAGTCTTATTTCAGCTATTCCACGACAATCCTCATCCGTCAATGATTCCTTCCTATTCGGTATCAAGCCTGTATCTGCAATCGCACGGTGAAGCTACTTCAGGAACGAGTTCTTACCCCTTGTGCGACCCAAGATTGAATTCGTTACAAGCCTCGAGGTACAATCCGTCTCCTTCACTCATGAGGCATGTAAGGTTATTCAAGGTGGGAAGCTTGGAGGGTGTAAGAAGTGAGGGCTGGTGGAGGCATAAGAGAATGAATAGAAGGTGAAAAAAGGAGAGAGAGGATAGAGGAAGGGTATTTGAGAGATAGGCGATATAGGAAATGAGAATTGGGAAGGAAGACATAAGAGGAAGAGATGGGGAAGGGGTATATGAAATGAGAGAAGATGGAAGGGTGGAGAATATTTTAGCTGCCGTTTGGTTAAAAAAGTCGGACACACGGTGGTAGGAATTGTCGCGGTTGGAATCGTAGTGTTGTCCTCCAAATGCAATGCGGGTGTATCCCATACCATTGAACCTCTCATTCGCACTTCTAGCAGCTTCCGGAGTTATCAACGAGCAACTCCTCAACGTCAACACCAACCTAACCTCGATACACCCAACCATCATTACGCCCATTGGATCCCGCGGGAGGAGGACTCGACATATCGAATGCCTTCGGTTCAATCGGGGTAGCGTCTTGGGCGGTATGGATGGCGTGTTTCCTAACTATATTACACCCGGAAAGGGCATGCCCTTTCCCTTAGCGTTTTGGGCCTCTCATGCCCTTTTTTGCCTGGAAAGGCAAACCAGCCGGAACTCCAGTCTTCCTAAATCACTCCAAAACCTCCATTTATGTCTCGTTTTCACTGGTTTGGTCAATATTGATATCATTTTGAGCTCCCATCCATAGCAAAAACCTCTTTTCACACCTTTGGATCTATGGAAAGGCAGTCCTGGTGGAAAGGCAGGTCATGTTCTAAATTCTCATTTACCTCCCTTTCCGACAGTATATTGCCTTGAAAGCCCTCATTCTCAATTTTGATATGCATTGTGACTCAATTTCATATCCAATCCTCCTTATTTTGTTAATTCGGGTCAATTTTGGCAGGCTTTTGAGGTTTTGAACCACAATATCACTGGAAAGGCAGGTCATGTTTTAAATTCCCATTTACCTCCCTTTCTGGCTGTATGACCTCCCTTTCCGACAGTATATTGCCTTGAAAGCCCTCATTCTCAAATTTGATATGCATTCTGACTCAACTTCATATCCAATCCAGAACCATTCTCAAGGCCTGTGACATGTTAAACAACCGCCTATTACAAACTCGGAAATTGATGTGAGTGCTTGTACTCTGGTTGATTGTGTTGTACGTATTGGATATATGGCCTACATTGATATGACCCACCTGCACCGCTGAGTATACATGCCTGTGCATTGGATCAACGGCAAAGTCGAAAGCCCCGAAATTCATCCGAGTGCTGATGCACAAGTCTTAGGGGTTATTAGAGACTTCTAGGGGACAGACTAGGGGGCAAATTATAGGGGACAGCTAGGGTACAGCTAGGGTACAGCTAGGGAGAACTGGGGGACAGCTAGGGTACAGCTAGGGAGAACTGGGGGACAGCTAGGGTACAGCTAGGGAGAACTGGAGAGCAGCTGTGGACTACTAACTACACTAATTCCGGTGGACACTTGGTTCGTAAATTGAGCGCCTATTTACTTCTTTTGGAAATTAGGCGCCCATTGCAACTCAGACAAAGTAATTCCCATCAGTGAACGAGGTGAGAATCATACCTTCCACGAAGGTGCCCATTGGTGGCAGTTCCCATGAGCACACATTGCAGCTCAAATCAAGTAATTCCCATCAGTGAACGAGGTGAGAACCATACCTTCCACGAAGGTGCCCATTGGTGGCAATTCCCATAAGCAAACAAGGATGTTCATGAAGGTGATTATCAATACTTGCCTTGAGTGAACTTTGTGCTAATCAAGTCCCAGTGGCTCAGTGGTAGAGCGTTTGATAATAATTGGATCCCGTACGGAATGTAAATATTGTCGAAAGCACAGGGTTCGAATCCTTGCTGGGACTATCTGGTTTTCATTGAGTTCTTTTTGATTCCCATGACCGAACAGGAGTATCATACCGTCGACGAAGGTAATAATTCCCATGACCAAACATGAGTATCATACCGTCGTCGACGGACAGGATTCATCTACAAATGCCGCATTAGCTCAGAGTCACTACCTACCTCCCTTGGCTCCACGATGCCCAACTATTGTAGTCGTTCAGTTCACATAGAATCTACATCGACGATTGTTTTCTGATTTCCCGCATCTACTGCTTCCTTCGATGAAACTCTCGGTGGTCGAAAAACAGATATGGAACAAGTTAATAAACAAAAAACGTATGTAATGCAGATATAATGTATGCTGGTGCTCCGAAAAGACTCCAAAGTATATGCATATATACTTTGGGATCTGTTCCACCCCCCTTCCGAACATTCCAGACATCGTTTCTAGCATCTTCATTCAAGACTTCGGGTGTTTAAGTCAGCCAAGTGCCTGTGATTGTCACGTATTGCAACAATTGAACCCCGTCTACGTTGCCACAGAAGTGTTTAAGTACATAGAATTTTCAGGCCAGATAACTCCTGTACTGACTCGCAGGGAGGAGTGAGTGGGACTCTGCATTCGTGAATAAGCGGAGAGGTGTACGGCCTTTGAGATGTCTTGCTCTCTGATGCGTGTAGATGGACAGGTATTGCACATTCCATGCAAGTGACAAGAGGATAGACTAGTTCAACGAGAGTGTTGAAACGAGCCGTAGAATAAAGAGCTTGTTGAGGAGGAAGGGAAGAGGTTGAAGGTCATCAACATCTTCATAGACCTCAGCTGCAACACCAGTACGGGCCTCCTTTCCTCGAAGGTTTTCTGCAAGCTCCCCAGACTGGCCATGACTGAGTCGTTTAGTTCATATTGAGATAGATTCGGTACCTGTGACAGTGCATCTTGCCCAGTTGAAGTGTAACGGGTCAAAGACTCTTCGTGTTCTGGATGGAGTAGTCGTAATGGGAGGGGAAGAGGGGTGAACGGGTGGTCAGCCTATTCAGACATTTCGTGTCCAGGAAGTGGTATTTCTTTGTTGAGCCGTACCTTGCACGCGATTATAGTCTTCTCATAACTGAATAATTACTGTACACTATTGATATGAATATATCAACCCGAACGACGAGGAGTCAGCATGATGAATGCCTTTACTTCGACGGAACACACGGACAGGAAATGTTTCCATCGCTTCGGCGATGTACTCGGTCCAATGTAGCTGAGGGAGTTAATACCCATTGAAAGGACGAGACAAAAAGAGCCCCGTCTCACGTAGGCAGACCGTCCTCGAAGGATGCAGAGCAGAGAGAGAATTGTTTCCCACGAGCAAACGCGAGATCATACTGTCGACGAAGGACGGCGGTGATTCATCCAGCGCTAATAAATCACGTGGTAATTATTGCCAGTGCACTTGAGTTCAGTGAGCGTGGAGCTAATCATGTCCCAGTAGCTCAGGGGTAGAGCGTCTGATTTAATATGGTGGTCTATTGTATCCTATATTCAAACAAAAAGCCAGGGTTCAAATCCCTGCTGGGACTTTTTTTTTCCAACTGACTTTCTTTTTTGCCATCAATAAGACTATGAGTATTATACCTTCTATGAAGGTGCTCATTGGTGCCTCGTATAGCATGAGATAAGGTAATGCATTCCCATGTAATAAATCCCAGCACTTTGTGGAAAACCGTGACTTAACGAAATTGTTGAAACTTATAGAATAGCTTAAGGACAATGGGGTATTGTCGTGGGAAATCTGGGAAATTTTGTTGGTCAAAGATAACAGGAACCACTGCAGCGATTCATGAAATTTTTGTTGGACCATCTAGATATACTTCCAAATATACCATAACCAACCTTATAGAATAGCCTCACGACAATGGGGTATTGTCGTGGGAAATCTGGGAAATTTTGTTGGTTAAAGATAATAGGAACCACTGCAGCGATTCATGAAATTTTTGTTGGACCATCTAGATATACTTCCAAATATACCATAACCAACCTCCGATAAACCATTAGTCATCCAAATCATGCGGGAAAGGATGTCGGAAGTTACCTGCTTTCAGTTGGTCGGTCCAGCACAAGTCTGTGAGAATGATAGGATCTAGATATCGTATCAACTATCTGAGTAAGCCAAAATGGTCGTAAATACCCCTCCTACACCCATATGACACCATTTATTCTCATGTTTCTTTCCCATTTCTTGACGGGCCAATCTTTCAATTTGTTTCGACTCTCACTTGAGCGAAACTTCTTACGCAAGAATAATGAGATCCAGCCAAGATACAGTCATTGTGCTTGGTACAGTAGGTAGATATATATCCAGTTACCTTGCAACCAACCTCCGTTAAGGGATATACCAGCTACTTGGAAATGTAGCCTATCTATATTACACCCCAATTACCGCTCTAGTTCCTTTGGCAGGTACTTCACCCACACTGTCCTACACAGTGAGCTCACCACCATTGTTGCCCACCACTGTCCTCTACACTGTCCTTAATGCTGCTGCTCAATGCCATATACAGTGTGCTCAATGCTGCCTTACACAGTGAGCCCTACACAGTGAGCTAGTCATTGCCCTGTGCAGTGAGCTCAACACTGTGTGCAATGACCTCAATGCTGCCTTGTACAGTGAGCTCAACACTGTCTACAATGAGCTCAATGCTGCCTTACACAGTGAGCTAGTCATTGCCCTGTACAGTAAGCTATTCATTGCCCTGTACAGTGAGCTCAATACTGTCTACAGTGTGCTCAATGCTGCCCTACACAGTGAGCTCAACACTGTGTGCAATGAGCTCAATGCTGCCCTGTACAGTGAGCTCAACACTGTCTACAGTGTGCTCAATGCTGCCCTACACAGTGTGCTCAATGCTGCCCTACACAGTGTGCTTAATGCTGTGTACAATGAGCTCAACACTGTCTACAATGAGCTCAGTGCTGCCCTACACAGTGAGCTAGTCATTGCCCTATGCAGTGAGCTCAACACTGTGCACAGTGAGCTCAACGTCGTTGTAGACAGTGAGCTCAACCCTGTCCACAGTAAGCCCAGATGTTCATTTTACGTATAAAATCCAAAGTGATTCTATACGCAGACGGCTCTGAAATTTTACGTACAGAATTTCGAAAATTCCATACGTAAAATTTTGGCTCATTCGATTCCTGATCAACTTTTTCCCACGATGGGTCCAAAAAAGCGCACTTTTATAGCTTTCCACATCAACTCAGGTGTTGTCTTTGCTATCAAACTGTATCTGAAACAGTACTATATACCTGAGCTTGGCATTATATACACAGAAGAAGGAGTACTCAGCACTGTCTTACAGGTGGAGCTCAGCATTGTGCACAGGGATCTCAGCACTATACACAAGGAGCTCAACACTGTACACAGGGAGCTCAGCACTATACACAAGGAGCTCAATACACAGTGGGCTCAATGCTGTCTTCCATAGTGAGCTTGACACTGTATGCAATGAGCTCAATGCTGCCCTGTATAGTGAGCTCAACACTGTCTACAGTGTGCTCAATGCTGCCTAATATTATGGGAGCCGGTCTACCCTAAATCGGCCACCTCAAAACCGTTTCACCAGAATCCTTGGATCCACTAGTCCAATCCACTCGATTCCTAGGGATAATATGTTCCTTGGCTTCCCCTCTATAGGATTCTGTCCTAACATGCATCATTAGTCATCATTTCTGGCTCTCTAGAGCTCGGCAAGTCTCGTTGGTTATTTCCCGCACTTCCCAACACTCACAGCCTAGAATCCTTACATCCGCTGCATATCGTATCAAGTGCCAGTGGTCAATATGCTGGCCAGCACACACAGGATCATGCAGCTATGAACCATTCGTCTGTCGCTTCATTAGCAGTCTCACCATTGCCTGATTACTCTCTTCTGAGCAGCGTTGACACTAATTGGGGAAAAATTACTTGCTATAAAAGTTATATCCCCACGTAGAGCTATCTCATAGCAGTAATCCTACACTATTTCCAGCCAATATAATTATAATTTGCACCCTCTACAGGTGAATTGGTACGAGCAGGAGTGGGCGCCTAATTCATTCCCACACTCGACTTTGACTTCTGCTTTGACCTCGACTTCGACTTTCACTTCGACTTCGACTTCGACTTCTGCTTCGACTTCGACTTCGACTTCGACTTTGACTTTCACTTCGACTTTGACTTTCACTTCGACTTCGACTTTCAACTTTCTATGTAACAACATGACTTCAACATGTATAGCCTCAATAGCTCAGTGGTAGAGCGCTTGATATGTGTAGCCCGACCGATGTCATATACATATCAAAATGCCAGGGTTCAAATCCCTGTTGAGGCTATAAACTAATTTGTTGTTGGTGAAATATTTTTGGCATCAATGGGACCTTGTCACAGTCTTCCTGTATCTAATAAAATGGGTACTGGCCAATGCTCCATTGGCCACCTCAAAACCACCCCAAAACCGTTCCGCCAGAATCCTTGAATCTGCTCCTCCGATCCACTCCATTGGGGCAGATAATATCTTCCTTACCTTCTCCTCTACAGGATTCTACCTTAACATGCATCATTAGTCATCATTGTTGGCTCTCTAGAGCCCGGCGAGTCTCGTCGGGTTTTTCCCGCACTTCCCAACACTCGCAGCCCAGGATCCTCACATCCGCTGCATATCGTATCAAGTCTCAGTGATCAATATGATTGCCAGCACACACAGGATCATGCTGCCATCAACCATTTGTCTGTCACTTGATTGGTGGTCTCACCATTGCCTGATCTTTCCCACCCATTCAATGATTCCGCTTCACCAACTTGCACATCCAGAATCCTCTGGCCCATAGTTGCAATGAACATCTCCCATAGTCTACATGATGTCAATATACCTAGAGCACATATATATACACTTGTATCCCCCAGAATCCATCTATGTCCCATGCCATTGACTGACCTTTCCTCCATGTACCTGAAATGAGTAGTCCCTCTATTCCAGTCAGAATCTTTCC